ACTGAGCTTCAGAAGTGAAAAAAAAAAAAATAAAATCCTTTGCGAACAAGCAAGTACTCAGAGAGTTTGTCACCACCAGGCCTGCTTGACAAGAGCTCCTGAAAGAGGCACTACACATAGAAAGGAACAACCAGTACCAGCCATTCCAAAATCACACTAAATGCTAAAGAGCCTCAAAATAATGAAGAATCTACATCAACTAACAGGCAAAGCAGCCAGCTAGCATCAAAATGGCAGTATCAAATTCACACATAACGGTATTAACCCTAAATGTAAATGGACTAAATGCACCAATCAAAAGACACAGACTGGCAAATTGGATAGAAAACCAAAACCCATCAGTGTGCTGTATCCAGGAAACCCATCTCACATGCAAGGATACACAAAGGCTTAAAATAAAGGGATGGAGAAATATTTACCAAGCAAATGGAGAGCAAAAAAAAAAAAAAAAGCAGGAGTTGCAATTCTCATCTATGATAAAATAGAGTTTAAAGCAACAAAGATCAAATGAGACAAAAAAGGCCATTACATAATGGTAAAAAAAATCGATACAACGAGAAGAGCTAATGATCCTAAACATATATGAACCCAATACAGGAGCACCAAGATACATAAGGCAAGTTCTTAATGACTTACAAAGAGACTTAGACTCCCACACAATAATAGTGGGAGACTTTAACACTCCACTGTCAATATTAGACAGATCAACCAGACAGAAAATCAACAAGGATATCCAGGGCTTGAACTCGGACCTGGAACAAGCAAACCTGATAGACATTTACAGAACTCTCCACCCAACATCCACAGAATATACATTCTTCTCAGCACCACATCACACCTACTCTAAAATTGACCACATAATTGGAAGTAAAGCACCCCTCAGCAAATGCAAAACAACTGATATCATAACAAACAGTCCCTCAGACAATAGTGCAATCAAGTTAGAACTCAGAATTCAGAAACCAACCCAGAACCACGCAGCTTCATGGAAACTGAACAACTGGCTCTTGAATGTTGACTGGATAAACAATCAAATGAAGACAGAAATAAAGAAGTTCTTTGAAACCAATGAGAACGAAGACACAACATGCCAGAATCTCTGGGACACATTTAAAGCAGTCTCTAGAGGAAAATATATAGCAATAAGTGCCCATATAAATAAAATGGAGAGATCCAAAATTGACACCTTATCATCAAAATTGAAAGCGCTAGAGGAGCAAGATCAAAAAAACTCAAAACCTAGCAGAAGACAGAGATCCTAAGATCACAGCAGAACTGAAGGAGATAGAGACACAAAAAACCCTTCAAAAAATCAATAAATCCAAGAGCTGGTTTTTTGAAAAGATCAACAAAATAGACAAACCATTAGCCAGATTGATAAAGAAGAAAAGAGAGAACAACTCAATAGATGCAATAAAAAATGATAAAGGGGAAATCACAGATTCCACAGATATTGAAACCATCATCAGAGAATATTACAAACAACTCTATGCACATAAACTAGTAAACCTGGGAGAAATGGATAAATTCCTAAACTCCTATGTCCTCCCAAGCCTAAACCAGGAGAAAGCTGGAACTGTGAATAGACCAATAACAAAGTCAGAAGTCGAGGCAGGCCGGGCACGGTGGCTCAAGCCTGTAATCCCAGCACTTTGGAAGGGCGAGGCAGGTGGATCACGAAGTCAAGATATCGAGACCATTCTGGTCAACATGGTGAAATCCTGTCTCTACTAAACAATCAAAAATAATTAGCTGGGCATGGTGGCGCGTGCCTGTAATCCCAGCTACTCAGGAGGCTGAGGCAGGAGAATTGCCTGAACCCAGGAGGCGGAGGTTGCAGTGAGCCGAGATCACGCCATTGCACTCCAGCCTTGGTAACAAAAGCGAAACTCCGTCTCAGAAGAAAAAAAAAAAAAAAAGAAGTCGAGGCAGCAATTAAGAGCCTACCACACAAAAAAAGCCCAGGTCCAGATGGGTTCACAGCCGAATTGTACCAGACACACAAAGAGGAGCTGGTACCATTCCTTCTTAAACTATTCCAAATAATCCAAAAAGAGGGAATCCTTCCCAAATCATTTTATGAGACCAACATCATCCTCATACCAAAACCCGGAAGAGACCCAACAAGAAAAGAAAACTTCAGGCCAATATCCATGATGAACATAGATGCAAAAATCTTCAATAAAATATTGGCAAGCCGAATGTAACAGCAAATCAAAAAACTTATCCATCATGATCAAGTAGGATTCATCCCAGGGATGCAAGGCTGGTTCAACATACGCAAGTCTATCAACGTAATTCACCACATAAACAGAACAAAAAACAAAAAACACATGATTATCTCAATTGATGCAGAGAAGGCATTCGACAAAATTCAACAGCGCTTTATGCTAAAAACCCTCAATAAACTTGGTATCAATGGAACGTATCTCAAAATAATAAAAGCTATTTACGACAAACCAACAGCCAATATCATACTGAATGGGCAAAAACTGGAAGCATTCCCTTTGAAATCCAGCACTAGACAAGGATACCCTCTTTCACCACTCCTATTTAATATAGTACTGGAAATTCTAGCCAGAGCAATCAGGCAAGAAAAAGAAATGAAGGGTATTCAAATAGAAAAGGAGGAAGCCAAATTGTCTCTATTTGCAGATGACATGATAGTATACCTAGAAGACCCCATCGCCTCAGCCCAAAAAATCCTGAAACTGATAAGCAACTTCAGCAAAGTCTCAGGATATAAAATCAATGTGCAAAAATTACAAGCATTCCCATACACCAATAACAGACTTAAAGCCAAATCAAGAACAAACTGCCATTCACAATTGCTACAAAAAGAATAAAATACCTAGAAATACAACTCACAAGGAATGTAAGGGACCTCTTCAAGGAGAACTACAAACCACTGCTCAATGAAATAAGAGAGGACACAAACAGATGGAGAAACATTCCATGTTCATGGTTAGGAAGAATTAATATCATGAAAATGGCTATACTGCCCAAAGTAATTTACAGAATCAACGCTATCCCCATCAAGCTACCATTGACTTTCTTCACAGAACTGGAAAAAAACACCATGAACTTCATATGAAACCAAAAGAAAGCCCGCATAGCCAAGTCAATTCTAAGCAAAAAGAACACAGTGGGGGGCATCACACTGCCGGATTTTAAACTATACTACAAGGCTACAGTAATCAAAACAGCATGGTACTTGTACCAAAACAGAGATATAGACCAATGGAACAAAACAGAAACATCAGAGGCAACACAACATATCTACAACCATACAATCTTTGATAAACCTGACAAAAACAAGCAATGGGGAAAGAATTCCCTGTTTAACAAATGGTGTTGGGAAAACTGGCTAGCCATGTACAGAAAGCAGAAACTGGACCCCTTCCTGACACCTTACACTAAAATTAACTCCAGATGGATTAAAGACTTAAACATAAGACCTGGCACCATAAAAACCCTAGAGGAAAAGCTAGGCAAAACCATCCAGGACTTAAGTGTAGGCAAGGACTTCATGAACAAAACACCAAAAGCATTGGCAGCAAAAGCCAAAATAGACAAATGGGACCTAATCAAACTCCACAGCTTCTGTATGGCAAAAGAAACAGTCACTAGAGTGAATCGGCACCCAACAGAATGGGAAAAAATTTTTGCAGTTTACCCATCTGACAAAGGGCTGATATCCAGAATTTACAAAGAACTCAAACAGATTTACAAACAAACAAGCCCATTCAAAAATGGGCAAAGGATATGAACAGACACTTTACGAAGGAAGACACATATGAGGCCAACAATCATATGAAAAAATGCTCATCATCACTGGTCCTCAGAGAGATGCAAATCAAAACCACATTGAGATACCATCTCACGCCAGTTAGAATGGTGATCATTAAAAAATCTGGAGACAACAGATGCTGGAGAGGATGTGGAGAATAAGGAACACCTTTACACTGTTGGTGGGAGTGTAAATTAGTTCAACCATCGTGGAAGACATTGTGGTGATTTCTCAAGGTTTTAGAAATAGAAATTTTATTTGACCCAGCAATCCCATTACTGGGTATATATCCAAAGGACTATAAATCGTTCTACTATAAGGACACATGTACACAAAGGTTCATTGCAGCACTGTTTACAATAGCAAAGACCTGGAATCAACCCAAATGCCCATTGAAGATAGACTGGATTGGGAAAATGTGTCCCATATACACCATGGAATATTATGCAGCAATCAGAAATGATGAGTTTGTGTCGTTTGTAGGGACATGGATGAATCTGGAGAACATCATTCTCAGCAAACTGACACAAGAACAGAAAATGAAATACCGCATATTCTCACTCATATGTGGGTGATGATAAATGAGAACACATGGACACAGGGAGGGTAGTACTAAACACTGGGGTCTATTGGGGGGAAAAGAGGAGGGTCGGGGGGGAGCTGGGGAGGGATAGCCTGGGGAGAAATTCCAAATGTGGGTGAATGGGAGAAAGGAAGCAAAACACACTGCCATGTGTGTACCTATGCAACTGTCTTGCACGTTCTGCACATGTACCCCAAAACCCAAAATGCAATAAAAAATTTAAATAAATAAATAAATAAAAAGTTTTACTTTAAAGATAATAGTACACTCATAAATTATTGTTAAAAATCAATAGTAACATAGAAAATAAAAATACTAATAGCCTGATACAAACTGATCACAATCCTGTATAAGAGACAACACTATTTTTAATAACTTTTATAAACAAACATTAAGTAATCCTGTTTGTATGTTAATGTGTTGGGATTACAGGTGTGATTACTTAATGTTTACTTATATAGGTTATTAAATTTTCATATATAGGTTATTAATGTAAATATTAAGTAATCACACCTGTAATCCCAATACTTTGGGAGGCCAAGGAGTGTGGATCACTTGAGGCCAGGAATTGTATGCCAGCATGACCAACATGGTCAAACGCAGTCTCTACTAAAAATACAAAAATATAGCTTTGCACAGTGGCGGTATCGTAGACCATGAGGTTTATCCAAGGCGCAATTACTGATAACTGAAAACTTTTTCCAATACCCAACCATGACGACTGGAAATGTAGCCAGCATTGGCAATTTTTGGCAGTCTATAGGGATGGAATAAAATAAAAAAATAAATATAAATATATAAATAAATTAAAATGGAAAATAAATACAAAACAATTAGCTGGGCATGGTGGTGCACACCTGTGATCCCAGCTACTTGGGAGGTCGAGGCAGGAGAACCTTAAACCCAGGAAGGTTGTAGGAAGCCAAGATCATGTCATTGTGACTAGAGTAAAACTCTGTCTCAAAAAATTTTTTTCTTTAAAACAGGTGCATTCCTCCTGTTGCTTTCTGAGGACTCCCTGCTCAGTAACTTGGTGGTGGCTAATAAACTCTCCTAACATCACTAGACTCTGCGGCTCACCATAAATTCTGTTTTGTGTGAGATCCAAAATTCCATTGTTGGGGTCTGAGACAAGACCCCTTTGCTGGTGTCAAAACTATACTATTCTTTCCTTTTCTTTGAGACAGAGTTTTGCTCTGTTGTCTAGGCTGGAGTGAAATTGTGTGATCTTGGCTCACTCTATCCTGTGCCTCCCAGGTTCAAGCAATTCTCCTGCCTCAGCCTCCAGAGTAGCTGGGATTGCAGGCACCTGCCGCCACACCAGGCTAATGTTTGAATTTCTAGTAGAGACAGGGTTTTCCACTGTTGGCCAGACCAGTCTTGAACTCCTGACCTCAAGTGATCTACGTGCCTTAGCCTCCTAAAGTAGTGGGCTTATAGGCGGGAGCTACCTTGCCTGGCCGGCTTGTATCCTTGGTGATTGCTTGGATATGGAGGGTGGAGGAGGAGGGGTGTCAGACAGATACTGCTTTTGGATTACCACTTGGGATATTAGGTGCAAGCCTCTATTACTGGTTCGAACCCTGAGAGAGCCAACAACTTGAGGCAGTGTGGAGCAACATGCTGTTTTAATGAGCATGTAGGTGCAGACTGGCTGAGGCCTAAAATGGCATCAGCCCCAAGTGAGGGCAAGGCAGAGGTTTTCTAGTTTCCTATAAATGGGAGGTGTTCCAGTCTAACATAACTGCTACATGGTACCTAGACAGCCTCTCTCCTGATCTTCAGGTGGCACTTATCTTCTGGCCTGCCCTCTTCTGGCTTCTGCTCTATTGCTGACCCATGCTGCTGGTGAAAGTGGTCTTGTACCTTGAGACCGGGCCTGAGGAGAGAGGAGTTATCCTCCCAAGTTTTCAGGCCCTGGGGAGAATCTTTCATTTGGGAGAGTAGGCTGGCTGAGTTTTCTTTGTTAGGTATAACTTGGTTTTGTGGGTGCAGTGGGATGCCTCAAGCTGAAAGCTTGACTCATTGTACATGCCAGACCCCACATGGCCATTACTGTGGCTGCCAGGCCACTCTGAGGCTGAGACAGTTTTGTCTGGCCTCTGTCCTGCACACATTTACAGATGCCTTCTCTGTGTTGGCAGATATGGGGGTCCAACAGATAGAATCCCATAAAGAGACCTCAAAGGTCTTTAGTCCAATGTGTTTATCACATCATTTCCACGATCAAAGATGAATAAAATCTAGAGGTTTATTTAATGATAAGGTTGATGGTACACCTATGCTAGGCAGTGTTTTAGTTCCTTGAGACACCAAGTAGTTGCGACAATCCTTTGTCTTAGAGTTTTGCATCTGTAAGTCCTGCTATAGAGAGCTGTGTGTGCTAAAAAGTCTGATTTGGTCATGTGGGATCTGGGCTGTCTGTAGGCTTAGGTAAGGGGAGGCAGTGTCCAGCAAGTATCCAGTACCCCATCAACACCCCAGTTCTTCTCCACCAATCTTCCAGTTCTAGGACTGATGTGGAGGCCCTCAGAGTGACTTAAGAGGGGAAATAGTCAGTGTGCTCTGTGGCTAGTTTGTGTGGGAGTGTACATTGTAAATGATCTGCTGACAAAACATTGGAAACAAGTAGTGTTTCAGCTTGAGTTTCTCATAAATGGCTTGCCATCATATAAACCAGAGCATGTATACCACAAGGCAACATGAGGGTCCCTTTACCACCCTTCCTCCCAGCATCCTAGATAGGCATCTACACAGAGTAATGTGTGCAACCTTACTGTGTGAAAGTCCAGTGCTTTGTGGAGTATCATCAGGGAAAGGGCTCTTACTTAAAAGGTTCTGATCTGCCACGGAGGGAAGGAGGGGGAGTGCGGTGCTGCTGGGCCCACGTCTCGCTCTCTAACAGAAGGCACAAGATAGCCTTGGTATTATGAAGACCTTGGGTGCCCCAGCTCACATCAGCCCTGATCAGCCTGATGCAGGCACTGGGCTCTGGTTCTGTGGGGTGAGAATACATGCTGGACTTCCACTGCATGGCTGTCACAGTGAGCATACAGGTGCCTATTTGGGGACTGCTATGGAGTCCTGTACCAGATGCAGTGGTGCACAGCTGGGAGCCAAGGTTCCTGCTTCTGCTGGAGAATCTGGGCAGATGCAAAGTGTTAAGGTTAGGGGTGTAGGAGTAGGGTTAGGGTTAGGGGTTAAGGTTAGGGTTGGTGTTGGGGCTTGGGGGTTGGGGTCAAGGGTCAAGGGTCAGGGCTAAAGAGTAGGATTAGGGATTGAGGTAGGGGTAGGGTTAGGGTCAGGGGGTTGGGGTTCAAGGTTAGAGGTTAAGGTGGGGTTAGTGGTGGGGGTGAGGGTGAGGGTAATACACAGATTAGTAAAAGCAATTCTGCTTCACTTCAATAACAACATTCTCCAACTCATTTTGTCTCAATGAACTTATTTTTCCAGCAGAAGAATTCCAGGCTTCTTAAAGCACCCAGTGACTTTTACACCTTAAGTCTGTGAAATCCTCATGTTTTCTTCTGCCATATGCGTAGTTCAAACATAAAAGATGAGGTAAAGCCAGACACATTCCTGAAAGGACCCAAGAAATTCCTCTCTTTCTCTCTCTGGAACAAAATGAATTCTCTAGACCATCAGTACTAACCTTCAAAACCAAACCTGTCTGTGAGATCTCCTTTAAATACTACTGTAGGCCCAAGTGTTTATATTTATATGATATTATTTTAGTATTTATATTAATATAAGGGAGAACATTTAAATCTGTCTATGCCATGTATGTCTCTGGCTTATTGCCCAATTAATTGTAGCCTCAGGCTAAACTTTGGTTTCTGTCTCTAATTTTTATCACAATAAATATAACTGATCTCAAAACATCTGTTTTTATTGTAGGGACTCGTGCTGCCATCTCCATTCCTCTCTCTTTTCTTGCAATCTCTGTGGAAGTTCTTTAACTTGGATATTTTGACCACCTTCACTCTCCCAGGTCCACTGTCAGCACATTCAGACCTACCCAGCCAAGGCTGTCATCTTAGGCCAGGGATTTTTTTAGGGATCTTTATTTTGCTGTGACACAGTTGGCACCACTTTGACTCACTTTATCACCCCAGGGCTCTTTTCATTTTAGGAGCCCAAGAGGGCAGAAAAAGAAGTGGTGAGCAATTAAACCCTCTGAGTCAGGAGAGTGTCCCCTTGTGTTAAGCAATGTTGCAGAACATCGTATGTAGTAATCTCCTAGCAGATGAGCCATATGGCTGCTGAGCACACATGCCCGCTTGTTGCTGTGAGCTCAGACTCCCTCATCATTATTCTTTTCTATCTCTGGAGGGAATTATAAGAGCCACTTAATAACCTGTAAGTCATAGAGAGTCAAAGGTGTTTCCCTGAAATACTGAGGACAGAATAAAAGGTGAGGAGTGTTAGCCATAGGACAAAAGTGCAGGAAAGTCTCTCAATGGTGGTTGTTGGAGAAATGCTTTTTCTTTTTGGAAGTCTCCCTAGAATGGGGTGAAGGATTCTTCCCACTCTAGAATGAAAAATTGGGATATTAGACACCCTCAGATATTTATCCCAAGCCTTCATTTAGGGTTCTTAATAAGTTTGTTCAGCTATCATAATCTCAAATGCTAAGTAGGATGTTGGAATCTCTCCACAGTCCAAATTAGCACTGCCTTTTAAAGTCGAGTTTCTCATTATTCTCACTTGATGTACCTTATTTATCCCACACTGGCCCTAATAACACATCGTGCTCACTGTTATCTTTGCAACGAGACTTGAATTTTACTTAGCCTGGAGGAGTGCCCTTCACATGTCCAGATTCAGTTCTGACTCATTCTTCAGCGCTGCATCAGTCAACGAGGTCTAGGTTAAATGGTGATGACAAACAACCTTCAAATTAGTGGCTCAAAAATCTTCTTCCTTATTTATTTGCATCTCATCATGGGTCAGGTGAGAGGTAGGTCTGTGCTGTGTCATCCTAACACAGGAATCAAGGCTGAAAAAGGTACCATCAATAAGATTCCCACTGCTATAAAAAAGACAAAAAGCATGCTGGATAGAACTTTGTTTCTTGGAGATTTCTCCTGAAAAAGTCACATATTATTTCTTCTCACCTCCAATGGCAAAAAAAAAAAAAAAAAAAAGAAGTCATGTGGCCATGCAAAAATTTAAGTAGGTGGTATGGAACAGTCAGAATGCATTCATAAAAAATGAACTGAAAATATTTGGAGATCAGCACCAATGACTATCGTGAATACCAGCATGCATTTTTAACAACCCAGTGCTATTGCCATTCAAACTTCTTATGTCTTGCAAAGTATTAGAACTTCCTATCTTAAAGCATGTTACTCAGAGGGACTGAAAAATATGTAAAAGCATCTTCTTTAAGATGTCCTTAGAGAATTCAAGGAAAAGAAGTTAAATAATCCAAAAGAGCTTCTGGGCACAGCTATTTAGCACTAGAGGGTAAGATTAGAGTTAGACTGTAAAGATAATAATAGGGTTAGGGTTAGAATTAGGGCCTGGGTCAGGGTCAGGGCTGGAAGTATGGTTAGAGGTGGGGTCATGGTCAGGGTCAAGATAAAACTTAGGGTCAAAGTCAGGGTCAGATTTAGGAACCAGGGTATGGATCAAAATTTAGGGTCAGAGTCAAAGTCTAGGGACAGGGTTAGGGTTAGAACCAGAGCTTAGTTCTCCTCAGGACCCACCAGAGGAGAGGCCATGGCTTTGGAGCACCTGGTAGTGTGTCCACAGTGAAGACCAAAGT